GAGTAGGTCACGCCAAACGGCTCAATATTTTTGAAGGCCACCTCATTTCCCGATTTTGTTATAAAATTATCTTACGATTCAAGTAGAAAGCAAATGGGTAATTACGAGTTATTATTATCTAATTTAATATACAAAGTTTGTCCCCCTCCAGATTGAAAACGTACCAATTCCAAGAGTTTATAGAGTTTAGTTTACAAATAAAATAGTTGTAGGTTACTATGCGATGAAACTATTTACGAAGTTTCAGGCGGATGTTAATAATACGATACAAAGGGGTCTGTACCACGGACGACTTGGTTTTGATCTGTTTTTAGATTAACTTATTTTTTAAAATAATGGTACAAATAGATTAATTTATTTTTAATTCACTAGTTAATTTAATATTTATAAGTATTAATTTTTATTATATAGTATACATATTTATACTTATTAATTTAATATTAATAAGTGTTAAATAATAAATAATACGAACAAAGTTGAAAAATCATAACGGGTTAGAGATGTTAGGGATTTCAGATTTTACCCGTTGAGTTGTGATAATTTTTCCATCTGTTGAATAGTATCACTTTTTTTAATGTGGCTCGCGGTAGAGTAGGTTGGGATGAGAATCGAAGCAACTGCCTAACCTAGAGGATCTCTAGACAAATTACTCGAGAATTCATAACTTTGGTTCTACTCAATACTTTGTTTTCATATAAAGCCGATGTTTTAAGCCAATCAAACTTAAAAATAATGTCAACATTTCAAAAGTCTGCCATTAGCCATCGCTGAGCTTACCCCTGACAAAATTTTGTTAGACAATGCGGACATACAGACAGACAAACAATTTTTTAAAAGCGGATTTGGTGTCTGTAATGTATGAAATGGTAAGATATCATAAAACGGGTTGATTCTATTCAATGTACAGACAAAACATTTATTTTATTCATATAAATTCACATTTGAAAAAATCATTTAGTAAAATTTTTTTTTTTAAATTCTTAAGGAAGTCAAGTTTCCGTCCATTAAAAAATTAAATAAATAATAGAAGAGAAGGATGGTTGGGATGATCAGTCAAACTGAAATGGTAAAAAGTAAATAAATTACATTTAGGCGAATGTAAAAATAAATAAAGTTATTTATTTTTGGCGAATGTAAAAATAAAATTATTTATTTTTTACCATTTCAATTAGACTGATCACCCCAACCATCCTTCTCTTCTATTATTCACTACAATCAACCATAAACCCACAGTTAATAAATAGATAATACTCAGATTAATAAGAATGAACTGGGGTCATTTGATGCAAATGAATGATTTTTTTTTTAAACATTTCTAGTTAAAAGTTGATGAATGAAAAAACGATCTCCCTCCAATTTGACGTTTTTGCACACAAAAATTCAATTACCGGCGCTAATCCTATCTGCCTGTATATCGGTTTTAAAAACAGGGTCAGAGAGAGAAAGTTAGAAAAAGGGAAAGTTACCCATAAAAATTGCTAGGATAAACAAGTATAAATATTTCAATAATTTATGCCGTTTTAATTCGCTAGTGTTTCTTAAAAGATCTATCTTTTGTTTGTGTGTTAGCGAACGTGTAGATCTTTTGCCAGCTTTATCACATATCTTGGGCTATTTCTTTCCAGTTAGCTGAATGCAGCTCAATTACATCTTTGTTGCTTATATCTATTCATCTGCCTTTTGCCTTTTATTGAGGAATTCATTGCTGCGTATATCCTTGTCTTCAAACCATGTGATATTGACTGACCAGTTTCTGTAAGCAGCTATTTATTGGTTTTTCCCCTCGTTAGTATTCTGATCCCAGAATAGAGACGAGATTGGCTAGAGTATTATGATGAAAAAGATTACTCTCGATGAAATGAATTGCCTATATATAACAATAAATTGTCAATATTAATATGAAAAAGTATTGCTGCTTACGAGTCTACAGGGCTTCCAGAACTCTATCCTTCGGCGAATTGTCCGTGGCACCACCCTACAAAGGGCTAAGAATCAAACAATACGCGAGGAGCTCCAGCTCCCCTCGGTACCTGAGTTCATAGGCCGGAGGCACATCAAATTTTTTGATGGGCTGAAGGCCTGTGCAAACCCACTGTTCAATGAGATCTCACCACCACCCAGACCTGGGAGGTGGCAAGGTAAACTCCCTTTGGTGGACATACTCGCCGAAGGATGTGGTCTGGTCTCTGCGGTCCAAACTCATTAATTTGTATATATTGTAAATAATAAAACATTAGCAGAACGGTCCTTCCCCGTTCAATGTCAAAGTCACAAGGCCTTCTGCCACATATGTAACCTTTAGCTATCCCCAATCCTTAAAATGCCCTCGGGCAGTGGAAGGAATTTATTACATGTTTATATTGTATTATTGTATACTATATATGTAATTGTTTCAATAAACTTTTTGGAGGGTAAGAAAAAAAAAAAGTATTTAAAACTTGAAAATGTTATGAATTGTTCCAAGAGCTTCGTGAACTTAACAGACAAAAATTTGTAAAGCAATAAGACGGAGATAATATCGAGCAATAACCTGCTCCCACAAGATACCAACCTCACTGTTGAGAAATTGAAACTAAGATAAAGTATTGGATGAAGGAAAAATAGGAACCCTCTAAGAAGAGTCAGTATCGTCTCAAAGTTTTTAAACACAGTTAAAGTTTCCTACTCCTTCAAGTTCTGGGAAGGTGGGTATATCTTCCAATAGCATAAGATATCAAAAAATTTATAATCGTCTTCCCTGATAATTTTATAGAGTTACTGGAGTTTTCTCTCACAACAAATAATTATTTAATACTTCAACAATAGTTAGAGATCTTCAGTATCTATAGTGATTACAAAAAACTTTATTATTTTGTTCTATTTATTTAAATGCCCGAAGAGATACAGTTGAATAAAATATTTACATCATTAATTAAAAAAGAACATAATTAACAAGTAATGTAATTTTTATGTGTTCATACAAGTGAGGCGGTTTTCCTTTTAAATATTTCTAACTTTTTTATAAATAAAAAACCCTCTTCAATGGTCAAATTTTAATAATTTGCCATAAACCCTACGCTTAATATGCCCTTGATTGTTGTATTTTCAATAGAGATTCAATAATGTATCTATAATTTTTTTTTTTTTTTTAACTTTTGATCTAACGTTTTATGCACAGTAACATTTATTTTAAATATTCCATACATTTTTAAACTTTTTTGTTAAAAGTGGTTTAATCATTATTGACGATGATGGTTTTAAGATCTTGATTTAAAACTCGTAGCTCGACAAACTGAAAAGCAGCGATACCCATACATACCATGTCACATGGTTTCGACATAATGGCGAAAGTCCACTCAAAAAAAGAAATCTTTAGGTTTGTATATCATAAAATGATTATATATATATTTATATAAATGAATCAATAAAATTAATCTTTAAATTTAAACTTCATTTGAAAAAGAAACATCAAATTTGTGGACTAATTAAAAGTACATCCGAATCCACTATCTCAATCACCGACTCCAGTTCGATGGTAAAACAGCTGAGTCCAGTTTTCAACTCTTACAACGTAAATGAATAAGTTCGTTAGTAAGTTTGTAATACGGCAGTTAAAAACAAAATAAAAATTCATCACGATTACGATTATGCATTAAAATGCAACACAGTTGCAGAAAACGGCGTTTGACACATTTATTGTATCAAGTCTCAATACATTCTAATATAGTTGCATTATTGGGAATTATGAAAAACAAAATTAACGAAATATTGATTAACCAATACAGTTAAAAAATGATCAATTCAAATTGATATAAGGTTAGACGAAGCAAATGAATTTCTGAAATAATCTTATATAAGAAAGTCGAAATTTGAATTTACAAAAATATATTTTGACTATAATGATTGTAATATATCATAATATATGTTAACAAATCAAATTAACATTCCGTCTTCTCTTTAAGTGATTTCTCCTGTTTGGTTATCTGAGGTTCAACCTCAGTTATCCGCTTCCATTCCACAACACTAGAAGTTTACTACAACTGAACCCCGATCCCACATTTCCTCTTCCTATGACGAGTTTGGGAATTCGGTTGGTATTCCCCAACATGCCACGTGGTGCCTGCCCCTGAGGCCGTAAACCTCAAGCAGCCATGCCGTTCTTATATTACTATTTCATTACTATGTTCAATAACTTCACTGTTCTCAATCGTTTACAACCCATTTCTCATGATATATCCTAATATTCATTCATAAAAAATAATATTCTTATATATTATTTATGAATATATATATATATATATATATATATATATATATATATATATATATATATATACCCCTTTTCCGGTTCTCAGGAATGATGGTTTTTGACCAATGAGATATCGATAGAAGGAAACATCAAGTAGACTGCGCGAATCGTAGTTTTGATTCCTAATTTTGAACCTGGACTTAAACAAAAGAGGGAGGTTTCAAACTATGAGATTATGCCATCACAGCGAATCCAGATTTTAGAAATAAATTCATAATCTGCGAATAACTCGAAAAATACAGGATTTTTGGTCTATTATAGATTTGGTGCAGTTATAGCTTTCTGGACATTTAGTATTTGGTTTATTGCAAAAATTCTGTTGTATAATTACAAATCAGTATATAATGTATCAATTCGTAAGTATTTTTTTAATTTCAAAACTTTTTTTATATTAATTAAATGATTAATCTTATTTTCATTTATATAAATGAGTTTTCCATTAAACATTATTTGGAATGTTTGTTAATATGCTTTAATTACATTATCTTTTACTGTTAGATCTTTGTTATTGAAGTTTGTCATTTTGAAAATGCACTTTCGATTTTTTTTTTAATGATAAAATAACATACATCCTGATTGATCTAACAATTCCTTCCTCAGAATTTGATCCTTTTCTCTTTTGCCGTCATCAGATATCCAAAGAAATCTAAAAGCTAATATTTAAATTTGATCTTAGCTTTAATAAAAAAAAAAGGGGGGCTTTCATTTGGTATTATAAGAGCATGATGAATGAATTTTTCAGACTACCAAGTTGCGACAATCTTAAAAGAACTGTTTCGCGCGAAAAAGTACGACGAAGACCGAACGAGTTGACTGCGGTTCTCCGCCTAATAGGAGAGCCTTGTCGTTCGACTTCCTGCTCTACGACGCATTTCATACAATCCGGTTTAGTTTGTTTACGATTAGGTGACTGAGATAGCGAAAAATTAATATTTTATTAAAACTTTTAAAAAGTTGCTTCAACCCATTCAACTAACTTTTTCTTTTTGCAGCTAATAAGTCACCCTTAGTTTATTTAAGATTAATACTGAACTTTAAGTTTTCAAATCTCTAATAATAATTTTTATTATTATTTAAGGCTTTAGGCTATATAACATTATAACGTACATTAATATAATAGTGGTAACCATAGAGTTCAGTAAATAAGAAAAACTGTAGGTAATTGCATAACATTAGCACAGCTTTCCGTAACTATCATACAAATGGAGATGGCTGTTTTGCCCACATGTAACTAATGTGTTGCCTATATAGCTTCTATAAATAACATGTTCCCTTATCTACATCGAATTGTGGAGAAAACCAAAATATGTGCAGGCTTTCAGCTGAAGCCCAATCTCTCAAAATCGTATATATATTTTTTTTTTTTTATTTTTGTCCATACCTTTTTCTGTGAATAACCTGAGCTAAATACTGAAACTACATATATATATTTTTTTAATTATAACTACTAAATATAAGCACGTATCAAGAAAAAATATATCTCTAAATATGCGCCTGTAATTATTGTTTTATTTTTTTAATTAAGGATCTTTTAAACATCATTTCATATACTTTTTTTTATTTTTCTTCCAGTGTAATTACCATACTAAAAAAGAAAATTACCGGAAAAAAAACCTCTCCCCTCATTAAATACTAAATCCGCTACTGCCACAGAAAAAAAGTCCTCTTCACGCTGTACTTTTAAGTACATAACATTTTCGTAAAAAAAAAAAAAAAAAAAAACAGCAAAAAGTCCTCAAACTAAACAGCTTTTTGTGAATTTCTTTTTATTTTTTTCTTCGTTAATTTTTTTTTTTAAATAAATTTCTGATGTATATACAAGTACTCAAGTTAAGTAACCAAAATTTAACATATATTAAACCACGGGGCATAGCTTGTTATTTAATATAATTAAAAATGGTGTCCTATGATGTTTCTACTAATCACAGTAAGCTTCGTACTTGAGTTAACCAGTCGATAATTTAATGAAATTAATAACAAATTTTGTTAAAACTATCAGTGACATTACCAGACAAAATTGGGCCGAATAAACCTAGGAAATACTAGACAGACATACTATTTGTAAACAAAGCGTAGCCTATCGATTTACACAAAGAGGAGGTAGCAGAGCTGAATGGGAGGGCAGCGCATGTCCCTCAATGGCAGGTTTACTACGGCCACGCCTTTCATCTACCTCAATGCTCTCTCATACTTATCCAACTTACTCAGCTCGTCAAAGCTTATATTACTTCTATGTGCACTATATTTTAGTACCACTTTTTATAACACCTCTGTCATACAATAGTAATAAACTTTCACTTTCATTTAGTAAACTATATCAAAACATATCCTTACAGAAAAATCTATACGATCCCTAGTAGATAATTTGTATAAAAAAAAAAATAAGAAGGTTAATTAGCATTTTTCGTTCGAATGCTGATTGAAAATAGTTAACTATTTCCTTACTTTAATAAGGATTAACTATTTTTTTTTACTTACGTTGTTTCTTAAGTTTTAAATATTTAATTTTAAATGTCAAACATTTATTTTAATTTTATCATAATGGTATTTATTAGCTATGAGGAATTTTTATTTCTAATTTTAATCTTCCCAATAGTCTGTGGTATAGACCCCTTTTTATAGAATTATTAACAATAGCCTGGAACTTCGTAAATAGTTTCATCTTATCGTAATCTACAAATATTTTATTTAAGAAAAATCTTGGAATTGGGGCGTTTTCAATCTGGAGGGGGGCAAACTTTGTCTATTTGATCAAGTGCTAAAACTCGTAAATACCCATTTACTGGTATTTATCACAAAATCGAGAAAAAAGGTGGCCTTCAAAAATATTGAGCCGTTTGTATAATTATAAGCTCATTATTTTGAAATTTTGGGGGTGTATTTCACACCAAACGGCTCAATATTTTTGAAGGCCACCTTTTTTCTCGATTTTGTGATCAAACTATCCATTACGATCCAAGTAGAAAACAAATTGGTATTTACGAGTTTTTAGTACTTAGTTAAATATACAAAGTTTGCCCTCCTCCAGATTGAAAACGCCCCAATTGAAAGAGTTTTCGTAAGTAAAATAATTGTAGGTTACGATAATAAAACTAATTACGAAGTTTCAGGCGGATGTTAATAATTTGATAAAAAGGGGTCTGTAGCACGGACTGCAAGTTATGTCCCAAATTTTACACCATTCTCTAATAATTAGTAAATTTACACGCACTTAAACCATTTTGTTTTTACAAATACATATATTTAATATATATACTTGGACACCACCAACTTTATTTTGCCACCAGAAAAAAAAAAATGGTTTTGAAATGGTAAATAGTAAATAAAATTACTCTGAACTACGTTTAAGAGCAAAAATAATGTAATCCCTAAATATAAAATTTTCTTCTATTTAGAAGAAACCTTTTATTTTTTAGGCTGTAAAAGTTTTATATATTTCATTCTGAATGCCAAAAATCTATTGCTTGTTTCATATTAATAGCATTGTTAACTAAGAATGATTTTATTTCATATTTTAATTTGTTATAATCAACTATCAATTATAGTAGAAATATATTTTTTTTTAAATTGTCAAGGTAGTTTTTTTTTTCTAACTTATCTTTATTTCGTCAAACCTTATATTTGCTGATAGTAGCAATATCACATGTCATATTTTGTACCTTTTTTAAAACATTTGTATCACAAAATAGTAAAACTCATTCATTATCATTCAATAAAATACATCACAATTCATACTGTATATTTTATTAATGGGTCACTGTCACTGAAACAAAGATTAGATAGTAAAAAAAAAATATCTATAATTTACTTTCAAATTCCAGTTGTCAATTCTTTCTAATATGTTCCTATCTTTTTTATTTATTTATTTTTTTTTTACAATTTAGAAACGAAACTGTTTTATTTCTTCTTATTTTTTTTTAACTCGTAATTTTGACTGATGAACAATCTAACTTTTATTAAATAATTATAATTTTATCTTACAGACAAAATTTATTTTACTTTCTCCTCATTTCGTATTATATTACTAGAAATCTGTAAAAAATATTTTTAGGTTGTAATAGGTTTTGATGATTGTAAATTAAGATATATATTTTTTTTTGTTATTTATTTTTTAAATAAAATATCAAAATAAAGAAGGCATGTTACTTAAAATTCTGCTTCTATAACTTGCTGAGAGATAGTTGGCAAAGGGAATATTGTGTACTATCCAATAAAAAGCATCTAAAATTAAAAAATAAAGAATATCCAAACAGAAGAACAAAACAGAACGCTGTTTCAACCCGGGCAGGTCTTCAGTTTTATGAGATTGATTGGCAGTTCTGATGGACAGTGATAGATGAATTACTTTTTAAAAGATTTACATATGTTTCCTTTCGTGACTGTTATAGAGTAATTATACACAAGTCCTTATTGTTCCCAAAAACAGTGGCGTACTCGTTTACAGAAACAAAAGCAAAAAAAATCAATAACATTTAAAAAGACTTTATAATATGTTAGGTATTTCGTTAATGTATAAAAAAAAAATTAATAATAAATAAATTTGTGTGAATGTGATCTCTGAACAATATTATAAATGTCCTTAGAGACAGATTCTAATATTTTTCAATAAACAAAAATAAGTTTAAAAAAAAATTAAAGAATACAAAAATAATCAGTCGATTCTTAATAATTTAATAACATTTTCATATCTCCAAAAAACAATACACTTTGGTTTAATATGTAAAACAACAAGAAAATAGGTAATATTATATGTTATGAGACATCGATTTTTCTTAAATTGATACTAGTTAATAATAGTGTTTTTTTATATTTTAGATAGGTTCATATTCTATATAATATGGTTAAAATTTTCACTATTGTTATTGTTTTTTTTGTTTTTTTTTTGTTTTTTTGGGAGGGGCCTTTTTAAGGAAAAACAATTTATGCATTACTTTAAGACATAATACTATTTTAGACATCATAAGACATAATAAGTATTTTTATAATTTTAATTTATTTATTATTAGGGAGGCAGAATGAATGTTAAATTATTTAAAGCTCTTGCCAGTGAAGAGTTGTGGCTTTACCATATATGAATCTATTCAGTGACTTATTTTAAGGCTATAAATGTTGCAAAATACCTCCTTAACATATGTTCTCTCTTTATTAAAAAAAAAGTGTGATAAGAATAATCATATTGTGTGACTGCTAATATGATTTTCATTGTATGTAGTAGTAATGTTTCTTATTAATGAAAATCAATGTCCTGAAACTGTCTCTGATCTATTTTAAAAAGGTATATGTCTAATGCGAAAAATAAAAATAAATTTCTAATGCGTGACCTCTCGCATGATGTATATTATATATTAAATAACTTGCTATAATAAAAAATTAAAACTAACTATCAAAAACTCTTATAACATATTATATAAGCAAAATAATTTTAGAAACATTTATCGAAGATTAATAATTCAATATTTGTAAATAAATATGAATGTTTTGAGCGTGTGTAACTGGGCTTATATGAATCCACGAAGAAAGGGAAAATTCATTGTAATGGTCAACTATTTTCGTTCCGTTCGCTGTTTCAATGAATTATAAAGCATCATCAGAGGCGCCACAACCTTCTAAATATCTTATCTCACCAGGTTCAAGGTAGCAGATTAAAAACGCATGCAGCAAAATGTTTTCATCACAAAATAATTTCATTTTTTCATCAATAAAAGTCATAAATAATACGTCTTTTGAATAAATTATCGTGTAGTTAATTTTCCATAAAACAAAACAAAATTAATTGGGTAAAGTTATAATATATGTGAAATATTAAAGAGATGGCAACTGTTGTTAATTTAATAAACATCGCTAAAAGATTACAAATTACATATTTTTAGATTACGAAATATTCCCTTGTAAAAAATTAAATATACACATATGTGAAAACGTTGACCTTGATAATTATAGAAAATGTAGCTTGATATGTTAATTTTTTTTATTTGTAACATACATTAATGATAAAATATTTTTTATTTAAATTCCTAACGGTGGAGATGTCGTTGAACACAGATATAATTCAAGAAGTGTGAGCTACCAAAGAAAAAAAAAAAAACAACTATTTTATTTTTATACCTTTTACTCACACATTCCATGAAAAAAATAAATAAAAGTTGATCACAATACAATATACAATATGCATAGGGGAAACGAAACAGTACATGTATGAGAAAATGCACCAACATGACATAAGAAACATGAAAAACAGTGGTATTTCTAGTGAGAAATTTATACCTTTATTCACAGTTCTAGATTTCAACACTGCAATCACCTACTATGGAATCAATTTATTGTATGTATCTGTGTCATTACAACCCAAGAAGGATCTTGAGTTCAGTATTACTCAGGGATGGTACTGTTTCTTAGTCAACGGTTGAGCAAGGAGGTGATTTGACTGGGATCACGCTCAACCGCCAGGTTTTCCCCCTTAATTAATTATTTAATTAAGGGTACCCAGTTTATAGAGACTGCATGTGCCATGAGGGATTGCCCCACGGCTGATGAAACAGAATAAATAATTTTTCGGCCAAGAGCCGGGAGAACTCAGGGTCTATAGATATTATAGACTTTTCAACTAGAAATATCATTAAAATGACTTTACTAAAAAATTTTTGAATTGGAGTTAGTCATTTTGTCACCTGAAAGGCTCATATATTACTGAGAACATAAATTATAACGTTAATTTAAAAGCGGATTCAAGGCAGTTACATCAACATTAGCAGAGAAAATAAGTAAAATTAATTTGTAAATTATTAATAAACAATGATAGCGATTTTTGTACTTGTATAGATATTTTTAAGGAAAATATGTTAAATGTAAACATAAACAATTTTATTTGATTATAAAACTAAATTAAAAAATACAAATAAATATTAAGGTTTTTGATGATAAGAATAATATGTTATTTTTTATAATACAAAGTTTTTGAACTATTTAATAATAAATAAGAATATTTTAATAAAATTACATGAGCAAGAGGTTTAAATGAACATAACCTTATTCGGTATGAAGGTTTTAGTATTAGACAATTAAGTTAGAGTGAAAAGGGCAGTTCAGTCCATATGAATAAAAAATAAAATGAAAAATATTTATGAGCAATATTTAATTAAGCTGCAATGATTGTTTTATTTGTTAAAGGT